TAGAGAAAGGATTTGGATAATAGTGCAAGAATTGCTAAAGAAAACCATGGTTCATTGCAAGAGGTAGCTTAAGGTGGTCGTGGATCCAGTTAGTTACTTTGTTCATTTTACCTGTTTGTCTCATGTAGAGATTCTAAAAGACAATTTATACATATCCTGAATTGTGGAAAGCTGGATTGTTAAAAACTAGCCTTCACAAGTTGATGGTTGTATAACAACCTGGATTCTAGCTGTTTGGCCAATGCCCAAAAGTCAAAATGGTATGGAAATTAAGAGGCGATAGAGGAGATGAGTTTCATGAAAACCAGTTGACATTGTTTCCTAGTGAATAAAACACCCATAAAACCTGTATTAAGAGCTCACGATTTCATCTCTATGTGTTTTGACCAATCTTGTGTGGCTCAAATTCACACTGTGCATTATGCCTTCCATGTTTATCATGTACTATATGTAATTTATTTTACATATGTGACTCTGTTACATATATATTTCATACGAGTATTAGAGTGAATTAAACTATTGTTTGTTTGATATTTTTGTATGCTAGTACTTAATTTAGATAGTATTGCAAGTAGCCATTATTTGTACACATTTTATCACAAAAAAACATGCAAATATTTAAGGGAAAATGGTGTTTTTGCCCCTGTCCGAAAGTTTAACTGTGATTTTATCCTTATTTTTTCAACTTTGTGATTTTACCCCTGTTATTTTGAAACGAATGAGTCGTTTGCCCCTGATTTGGATGTCCGTTATTTAGGGGCGGATTAAACAATTAAAAAAAATAAAACACATAAAATCAAATGTGAAATGACTGAAATGCCCCTTCCTCTTCATTCTTATTTGCTTGTTCTCTTCACTGCTATCTGCTCGCGACAGCGAGTTTGGGTGGCAACGGCGGCGTCCCTGGCTTCTCTTCCCCAACGCAGACAGGTGAGGCCTCCCCGGCGCGAGATCTGGCAAAGTCCCTCCCCAGCGTGGATCTGGCGAAGCCCCTCCCGACGCAGGCAGGCGAGCCCTTCCCGGCGCGGATCCGGTGCAGGCAGGCGAGCCCTCTCGTGCGGCTTCTCTCCCCGGCCCGCCGCTCGGACGAGGCCCCTTCCCGACGCGGATCCGGCATCCCTCCCTGGCCCACCGCTCGGACGAGTCTCCCATGCGCGACGCTGGTGCGGTGGCGGCAAACAGAGGGCGGGGCAGGGGCCGGTGGCGTGGCATGGCGGGCGGTCGAGCGGCCGCGTGCAAGGAGGGCGCCGCGGTCTCGTGCGGGGCTGGACGCGGCTCCCGGCGGCCCCTGGCCGTGGCTCCCGGTGGCGCCTGGCAGCGGATCTCCGCGCCGCCTCCTCCCCTCCTTCCTCCGCTCCTCCTCCCCACGTAGGCTCCCATGCCCAGACCGCAGAAGCAGAGGAAGGCGGTCGTGCTGGTGCTGCCTACGACCCGGAGCAGTCGCCCTCCCACGCCCGCGCACGCGCCGACAACGAGGAGCCACCACGGGCTAACTCCGCGGCTCGCACGCGCGGCCGCGAGCTCGCTGCTCCGCGAAAGCCGCGCCTTTGCCTTCCCAGGCTGTGCTGCAGTAGTGTGGTGGACCGCCGCCGTTTTTCTTGATGCCGTGGACCGCCGCCGTTGCCAACTTCCCACCGCCAAGAACCGGCCAACCGAGTTCGCGACGTCGCCCTGGTGCTGTAGAGCCGCCCTACTCGCGCTTTCGTGGACCGGAGCTGCCCGTGCGCTATCCCCCGGCGGCGTTCATGTCCTCGGCACGGCGCACAGGCGGCCCGGCCCCGCTCCCCGCGCGCCCCGTCCCCGTACCCCCAGCGGCCATAGCCTGACCCTGCGCCCCAGCGGCTAGGCCCCAAAGACAAGATCTCCGGTGGTCGCGCCATGGCGGACGGTGGACCAAGCGCCACAGCAGAACCAAGCCTCGGCCAGACAGAGGCAAAATCACAATTAGGCATAAAAACAAGGGGCAAAATCGCATGGGCATTCATGTCTTTTGTACAAAGTTTAACACCGTTAGGGGTGGATGACGGAGTAGGGGCAAACTGGTGCTTCGTGAATGGCATAGTAGGGGTAAATTCACAAAGTCAAAAAAATGGGGGACAAATCACAATTTCGATACAAAACAAGGGTACAAACGCAAGAGCCCTAATATTTAATGCTATGATCAAACTATACACTGGTAGAGTCTTTTTCATTCACCAACTAAATCCTATAAACATGATGTGGCACTTTGGAAATAGTGTAATGAAACTCACCATTAAGATTGGCCTGAACCGAGCTGTCAATAATATGGGTCTGTTTGGGACTGCTCTGATCCACCTTTTGTAGCTCTGCTCCTAAATTTTCCTGCCAAATAGGTCCAACTCCACAAACTCTGCTCCCAAAAAAGATGGAGTTTTGGTCCAACTCCATGTTTTTCGTGGAGCTCCTCAGAGGGTACTCCACAAACCAGTGTTTCGTATGTCCTCGTGAGAGTTGGACATAATTACCTGCAATTGCCACTCGTTACGCAAATACCGTTTCGTTTCTTTCTTTCTCTCCCGTTCTTCCCGTCCGACGGCACTCTGGGCGCTTTCTCTCCCGTTCTTCCCGTCATGGTTTCGGCCAAGGCTTTGGGTCCTACCGCCACTAAGCCGTGGACAGCCAGCCCAAAGAAATCCTGCTCCCCCTCGGCGCGGACTGCTGCTCCCCGATGGCCGCCCCTCCGTGTCGGACTGCTTTGCTCCCGCCGATCGCTTCTCCTCCACGTCGTGCACGTCAGTTGCCACTCAAGGCCGGGGCTCTTTGCTCAGCCTCCCGCCGGCCGCTGTCCTTTCCGCTCCTTTCTCCCCGCTCCCGTGAGGTAAGCTCGTCGTTATGCCATTCCATGCTCCTCTCCTCCTCCCCTCCTCCCTCTTCGCCTGCTCCATCCATCCCCATCCCTCGCCCTCGTCCCTCGAGTTTGGTTGTTGCTTTCGGTTCGGCCGGCGAGCCACCATCCGCTTCCACATGATTGCTAATCAGGCCGTCCGCCTCTCCTCGCTAATCAGGCCGCCTCCCAGATCTAGGTGCGACCCTCCCCTGCTCCCGAAGCGGTGCAAGGGTCACTGCCTCCCAAGCGCCGCAAGAACAAGTAACTTTTTCCCCCAGTTTGATTCATTCAGTCAGTGCTGCTGATTTCAATTTTCAATTTCAGTTTGTGATTTCAGATAGCAATTTCAATTTGATTATAATTATGTGCTTTCAGTTAGCAATTTCAGTTTTCAAATTTGTTTTTGCAATTTTAGTTATTAATTTCATTTAGCAATTTACACCATATTTGAATTGGTAAAAAAAATTCAATTACACATGCTCTGCATACAACAGAACATACACCAAACATCGATCAGGGGCATAGTAGACATTTCCTATAGAAACCTCATGTTTCCAGAGCTGGAGCTAAACTGCGTGCCAAACAGTTCCACTTGCTCCAGAAACTCCACAGTGGAGCTGCTTTGTGATAGAGTTGGTGGAACAAAGCTAAAAAAAAGTAGAGCAGAGTAGTCCCAAACAGGCCCTAGAATCGATATCGTAAAGTAGGCCTGTAATGACGTAACTACAATACCGATAACATTTGGGCCCCTTGCCTTTTAAATCGTCCAAGAAACCCACCAAACCGGCAAACCCTTTCAACTCTCGCCCTTCTCGCGGTGCCATGGAGTTGCAGGTGACAACAACATGTGGGGGTGGAAAGCCAAACGACCAGAGGAGGGTGAACTGCGCTGGCGACATGGGAGAGGAGACGTGGGAGCACAATTAATTTGGGGACTATTGTCGCCATTTGGTACAAAAGAAACACTTCTCTTAGGAAGCAACATAAATAGAGGGAAATATATACGGTTAAAAGAAACAAGTTCGATTCTCTATTTTTGTATAAATGGGGTTGCAAGGAATATCTCGGTCAGTAAAAGTTGTAGAGAACGTGCCGTTTGGCTTTTCTTGTAGTTTTGTTGCTTGTTGTGGGCTGACATAAATCGTCTTCTATGAAGTGAGGCGACATATTGCTTTATTTTCATGAATACTTGAATTGGGGAATTAATTTTATAAATGACATACCAGTTTGCCTGGTATATTTATACAAAGAAAAGTTGTGGCAACGTGGTTGTTACATCAACAATCAGACTATATAAGAGGCCATGGATAATGTTACCATTGCATCAACAGTAGTGCATAAGGTATCTCTTTGGCGGTGGATTCATATGCTCAGGCAATGTGCAATACATTTGGCAAGATTTTTTTTTCTCGTCACTTGTCAAGAAACTTGACCTCCCTCAAGTTGAGCATAACTTAATTGGTTAGGTTGAAGCGTGTCCACCTAGGTTCAACTCCTTGACTTAGCACATATGCTATTTTTTTCCAAACGGTAGTCACATATCCTATGATTTAACAAACACTATTCTTTCAATATTATAGACAAATATGTTCATTGACAACGAGGTGCATGTGATGACTTCTTTAGATTTGCCGATCTAATTTACTCCGTCGAAGATGCTCATAAAGTAGGATGTGAGTGTGTGTGTATGTAGATTTGCCGATCTAATTTACTCCATCGAAGATGCTCATAAAGTAGGATGAGTGTGTGTATATGTACGTGAGCGTCTATATCTGTACTAGGTTTTGAAAAAAAAATGACCTCCCTTTTTCACTGAATACTATTTCCGGGTCAATATTTTGGACTAAGGGTACAAATAAGTAACTGCTGGCCATCCATACTGTTTTTTTTATCCTGAAGTTTATAATCAGACTCTGAATTCTCCTGTCTAAACTTGCATGTAGCAATGTTATCCATACCCTAGAATTTTGGTGTTCTTAGTACATGTCGGACGTTAATTTTTGGTGTTCCGAACGGACGATTATTTAGTTCTAAACTCTCCTGACAGATTATTTAGTTCTAATCCGGGGGCATGATTCAAAGTTTCAAACCCCAGGGGATTAGAAGTGCATTCTAGACTGCTAGTTCACAGGTCAGTGCCGATCTTCTCCTCTCACGCGTTAGGCCACTCCCAGAGAACCTCGTAAGGTTGATCACCATCTTTGTCCAGGCACATTGCTTCCTGACCCTGCATCATTCTTCTGAAAACAGCGATCTGGGAAGCGTAGCCTGGTTCCTCACCTGAGCCGCCGACGCCAGAGAATTCCACGCTGTAGTTATGCTTCACCGCGAGGCCAGTAGCCCAGCACTGGAACTGTGCCCTGGTCCACTCGAACTTGTGGTCGTGGTTGCGGAACTTGCAGGGACCAACGCTTTCGTCTGCCTCGTCATCCTTGTTGGGCATAGCTGACCCCTGGAGGATAGGGTTGTATTCGTAGTTGGGTGTGGAAACAATGAGCACCGTTGGGCGGAATGAGCTCAAGACGACATTGCCAAATAAAGTCGCTTGGTCCTCCTCAACGTGCTCGATCACCTGCATTTCACATAGTAGAATCATGTGCCGACATGAGACTTCCATTTTAGAATCTAGAGAAGCGCTAGAAAGCACAGAGCTTTTATATCTGAGCATAATGATGTTACAACTTACAGCAATGCCATTTATCTCAGATGTTAACTACAACATTAATTTAGTTTATGTAGATGAGCATCCTATAGACATGTTTTTATAGATGCATCAGCAACAACCCCTAACAGTATGATCCAAGAAGTTAATTGCAAAGTGTCATGTTTAGAAGGGACACCTTATGCACTGAAACCAAATAAGAATACAATAGAAAAGTCCAAGAGGTAAGGTCCGTTACCTCAAGACAAGTGCCAATATCAAACCCATATAAGCGAGAATCATAGTCTGTTATTGATCCGTCATAGAGCACAGCAGTTGGAACATTTGTCTGCATCATCGATTTCTTGCTCAGCTTCTGATGAAGGCTCTGCAATTCCAGGAGAGGCAAAACAAGTTAAAGTTTAATGCACATGGAAAGGACAAGATGGATGGAACATCAGCAGCTACTAAGTCAAGGATATGCTTTGTACCTTTGCTGCACGTGTGAGGCCTTTTCGAGAAATATCAACACCGACAAGCTTTTCTAGCGTGGTTGGATGCTCTAACAATGAATCAAGAAGGCTACCAGATCCACAGCCAAAATCAACCTGAAAATGCATCTTTGCAATGAAAAACAAAATTTTTCATAAATAAAGAACAAGAGAATTAGGGGGGAAATTTACAAGTGTGGTAGCATGCAGCTCGTTGATGTGCCGTACAGCAAATTCAACTCTTTGTTTAGATAATGGAGGACTGAACAAGGCTTTCTCCATTCTATCTTCTAATGGTTCAGTTACCTGCAGAACCTTTACAAAGAACTCCAGGAAGCAGCTCTCTGCACAATGTTTAAATATGTACACCTGCTGAAGCCAGATTCAAAAAGATTGCTGAAAATTATAAGATTAGGTGGCTCACCGATAGATACATTGGAGAGGTCATGTGAGACCTCAAAAGCTGCAGCCATGATTAAATCCCTAGGAGGCAGTTCAGCTAGAAAACATGCAGTTTGATTCACTGACAGCTGAGTTACACATGATTCAAGCTGATTACTAACAGCACCCGTCCCAATCTCAAACTCAAACTCATCGCGGCTCTCCAACAAATATGTTTTTGCTTTATCCTTCGTCACAAGGGAAGCAGTATAGCTTATAGAAGTCAACGATCCGTGGGACGGGAAAACACCAGAGTCCGGACCGTCAATGTGTGTTAACTTTGCAGTGCTTTCAAGGTGCTTCCTTTGTGTATCCATAGAAAATGGTCCAACTGCATTGCACATTGCTGAATCATTGCCTCCGGTCTTGCCATAAACAGATAGGCACATTGCAAACTCTTGCAGAAAAATATTTGAATGTATCTTGACACCATCAGTACACTCAGAAAGATATAGCTTGTCTGTTTTTGAGGTTAGTTTTTTAAAATAATTATTGAACCAAATCAAGACCTTCAATGCAGAATTCTGAATAGCATCAGATTCCTTGCTCCAAGTGTCAGCTGCAGAATACTCTAGTAAAATCTCTTGCTTCCGTGAACGTATGTTCACTTCACATTTAAAAAGGTCTGGGGTTTCCTTGTTGATCCTGACATCATTGGTGTACTGATTTTCTACACTGTCTGCTGGTGCTCCTCTTTCTTCAGAGCTCACAGCTGACATTAACATATCACAGGAGACCCTACTGACAGCAAACTGGGGCTCTGGCAACCTCTGGAGGCGACAAAATGAGCAAAGGAGATCTCGTGGAGAGAGGCCTTTCCAACTAAAACGAGAGTATGCAGATGGAAGCTGCGCTGCAAGAATCGAGTCCCTAGACATCTTACAATTTCCATCAGGTAACTTGCCCAGAAGTATCCTGAGCCAAAAGCATATGTCAGTGTGTCACTCGGAAGAACTATACGAAATTCGGTGCTTAAATAATAGATAAAAGCAGCCCAGACATGAAAGAAAAACAGCACATGAGGCCAACCTCTACAGCTATGTGATGATTCCTGAGAAAAAATGACCATATCTACAAACAATATAAAATGCTGTTGTAGTGAAATATTCAACAAAGCTGTACCTGTAATAGGTACATAGATTGACATCTTCGGTGTGAAGTTCTGAATCTCTCCTTGTGTATCCGATATTTGCCAAGAGCGCATCTCCATAAATTGTTTGGCCACAAATATAGGAAGCTCGCTTATTTACTTGCCAGTTGATGTCACCATCTCCATGACAAGCAAGCGCATTTTTTGATATATCAGAAACAACATGTATATTTGGGGCTGCAAAATACAGCCTTATCTCAGAAGATGCTTTTCCAATTGTTCTGCAGTGAGACAGATGTTTCAAAATTGTCATGCACAGCAAGAATAGTGGAAAAGGCTCAGGAGTCAGGATTTACTGCTTAGTTTTTCTTTGCCTACCTTGATACAAGAACATGAGAGGAATCAATTGCTGAGAGCTCTGCTGCAACATAACTCATATAATGTTCATAATCTCGTAGATTAATTCTTACTGTCTTCAGTTCATCCTCCAACACGTGGGGAACAAGAATCACTTCTACTTCTACAGGTTTTGTTGTACCAGACCAACGCTCAAGTGCCAACTCAACAGCCTCTGGAGAATAGGGCTTTTCACTCTGAATCCAGAAGTTGCTGTCACTAACAGAGACTCCAGGAGATTGTTTCGCAGCATTGTACATCAATGACAAAACCAAGAGAGGATCAAATTCTGCCCTATGGTCGATCACTTTACACAATGTATTGACCTTCACATCACATGCAGCAATAGCCGGCAGAGGTATCCTCCCAATGAGATCTCCAGTTCTCCTGAGAGTCACACACAAGTGGCCAACAAGAGGATGGGTAGATGATAGGAAGTTCTGAAATGAAGTACAGTAGTATGGTGATGTTAGAAGAAGTGATTGGATTTTTTTATAATTTAAAAAGTGCACCAAAGCTCAAATATGACATGAATAAACAGTAGCATGCTTTGAGTGGTCAGCAGAATGGTTCCTACTTTGTGAATTGTACTACCAATAATCTTACACAGGTATTGACATTGTAGGGAACCAAGTCAGATTATATTACAACTACAAAATATTAGCATAAGAAAATGTCAAAGTAAAAATGGAACCTTATGTTCGATCAGTCTTTGCAGCTTACTACAAGTTGGCGGTTACAGTGCTATAGGTTCCTCGTTCTTAAATTTTGAGGAAAGACTCACAGCAGTTAAATATTATGCATTGCCAAACAGAGGCAACCAAGCAATCCAACAAGGACTCTACTGCACTTCTCAGAAGGCAGAAGAGCAGCAGTGTACAGACCTTTACTCACGAACTAGGACAGACAAGACATAATATCAACATGGGGAAAAAAATACTGACCTCATCTATGAAAAAACCAGATATGCGAGCAATCAGTTCATCCCAAGCTTCTTGGGGTGTACTGGGTATATTTGCCGTTGGCTGAATACCAAGCTGTGATGGAAAAACAAACAGTTATCAGAACAAGTTGATAGCATGGGAATATGATTACATGCAAATACTAGCTAGCTTAACTATACAATGGGGAGTAAGCTCCTAAGTCTGAACATCAGTCTATTAGAGCATAAATCGAAGGCGATTCGCGATTATCAGTTAACAGCATAACAGAAAATGTGCAACAGAACTGTGTTCGCAGTCAAGGAACAAGGATAGATTACCTAAACTAAGCACAGAATCTGAATTTCAGTTCCTAATCACCAGATACTCTTCCTTCCAAGCAAAACACAAGCAGCGCAATGATATGATTCACACAACAGCTCGATTCCAACACCAAGGATTTCTACCACCGAAATTCTCCCGTTCTAGCGGCAAACCGCGACTCCCAATGGCTTGCCAACCAAAACACTGGATTCGAGCAGCAACCAACGCCGCAATGCCACTAACAACCACAGCGCCGCGCCGGCAGTGGGGGACCTCAGCCTCACCTTGTCGAGCGCGATCTGCGCGGCGGCCTGCTCGGCGTCCTTCTTCCTGAGGAAGGTGCCGGGCGTGGCGACGGAGAGGCCCGGGAGGTCGAGCGCGCAGCGGTAGACGCTCCTGGTCTGCGGCGCGAGGCCCGGGCAGCCGCCCACGGCCTCCCGCACCTCCTCGACCGTGTACCGCGCCTTGGCGCCGAACCGCTGGTGCACCACCGCCTTGGGCGTCGGGGCCGCCGCCGTCATCGCGCCCGCCGCGCGGAGGGAGTGGACTGGGGGGCGCCGGCCGGCGGGAGCGGAATCGGGTCGGGCGGCGAGGGTTTGGGGATCGGCGGCGTGGGGTTGGGTGATCGCGGATTAGAGGAAGGGGGAGGGGAGGGATTAAAGCGTTAAACCCCCAGCCAGACAAGGGGAGGGGAGGAGAGTTTGCTGCGGCTTGGGTTCTCGGGCCTTGGAAGTTGGGAAGTGGTCCAGGAAGGGAATGGAGAAAAAGGAAGGCAAATATTGGCGGTTGAACTCATACAGCTTCAGTGAAATAATAATGTTTTTTTTAACAAATCAATATTAACTGTTTTTTTAGCCCGAACAGGGCCAAAATGGTTTTCTATTGTGCTGTTGTACAACTATTATTGTCCCCCACGGCCCCAACCAAAGTGTGTTTAGAGCAGTCGTTTTTCTGACAAAAGCTGGGTTTATAGCAAATTAGCGTTGCCTGCTGCTAGTAGTAATACTCGTTGTACCTTTGAACACGGTCTCAAATTTTTACTATTTGATTTGACGGTGAATGCATGCACCACTCTGAATTTTATTTGGGACATAGTAGTATTCACTAATAAGTTGTGGTTTTCTTTGAGATGTCATGGTGTTGATTCTTGGGCAGCATAGTTGGCAAATGGCGATGCTTGAGTTCATAAACTGCGGCACATTTTGCATGCTGTGACATTATATATATATATAGATAGAGAGAGAGAGAGAGAGAGAGAGAGCAAGCATCTTTGTTTCGTTGTGAACAAGTAGATTTTACTACCCGAACAATCCACTTTGTCTGTTTAAACTTCCTCGACAAAATTTAACCTCAGTTTACTCTCGTGGACTGTTTCAGTTTGTCTTATCTACCCCCTAATAAGATATATCTTTTCTTTTTATCAATGTAGAGTTTAGTTTTTTATCGGGTGATGATGTCCTATGTTAAAAAATATATTTATAAAATTTCATGATTACTTTTCATGCAACTTACATGTCTATGTTTAATTTAGTAGCAGATGTTATTAACCTATGAAAATTTCTTAATATATTTTCCCAACCTAATACTCAACCTATGAAAATGTTTTATATTAGCACATAAAAACTGAACCTAAAACTCAATTTATATGTGGAGCAACCAAAATGTACAAATCTCATTAGGGGTATATTTGACAATTAAAATAGTTTATGGAAGTAAAATTAAACCCAAATTTTGCAACGTATCAACCAGACAAGGTGGATCTTTTATGGCGTATTTGGATTGCGGCATCGGTTGGCTCTGGAGTCATCTGATCCAAAAACCGAACCTACCGGATCTGTTTGGATTGAGGAGCGACGCCGACTCGTCCCGCATCATCATGCCCTCGCGGCAGTTCATTCTCAGGGAACCAACTCGTCCGGCCAAAAACCAACAGACGAGGTCGTCCGGAGTGGAGCCGATCTAGATGGGTTGGGACGTCAAACCAAACACGCTCTTAGTGTACTGCCTCTATTATCCAAAATATAAGCTACATTTAGAGTTCAAAATTTTCCAGTAAAATTGCTACTTTTGAGTTCCTCTTGATTTTTTTAGCGTGAAGAGATAGAAAGTAAGCATCGCTGCCATACATAGATTACGCGTGCATGCTAAATATAGCAATATTCTGAAATGGAGGGGTAGTAAAATGGATTTTTTTTCCTTTTTGTTTTTTGAAAGATGACAATATCTTCTGCAGAAGTGGGAAATATCCTCGACGCACATGCACGTCCTAAGTCTAAATCTCTGACCGCAGAGGAACACTCACATGCATAAATATATGCTATTTTATTAAGGTTTTAAATAGCAGACTGCCGTTTAGCAGCAATTATTGAAGGATATAGCGGAAGCTATTTTATTTCGTGATTTTATATAAATAAAACATAAAGATTCCTAATTAATTATGCACAGGAAACAAGAAAGTATGGAAATTTCACAAATGCAAGCTCTCAAATATGTATAGGCTTTTAGAAAAATATCACCAAATCCATTTCTTAACATTTATTCAATCAATCACACGAGTAAGATAAACATTCACATTTATTCAACAGTCAATAATTATTCAATGACCCATTACAATTTACAATTTATATTAAGTAAGAACACAGGAGAGAGGCGTACCTTAGTCATCTAGATTAAAGAATGAATGTGTGCCTCAATCAGTCTTAACAGTGTTTCGACTAAGCTAAATAGCAAAGTTTAAAATAACTAAACAATTGGGAATATCGTAGCAGTAGAAGCTATGAAAAATGCTATAGCCAGTTATTTAAAACCATGTATTTTATAGAATATGCTACTAAAACGAAAAATAAAAGGAAATTTTAGAACTTAGCGCACATATACATGCATGCAGCTAAGGTTTAATCTGGGTGGATGAAGCCATAAGCTCAAAACTCCAGCCCACCCAAGGGTTATTTATATACAAATAGTTGAATTTACAAAGAAATATACAATTTTCCTCAAATGCAATCAAGCCAGATGCTCTGCGACAAGATAGAGATATACTGTAAACTCATCAAACCAGAGCAAATGGCTTCATCCTTTTAAGGCAAAAATAACAGTCGAGATCAAACTTCTGGCCACCTCAGTATCACAAGGGCGGAGTCAGTGATGGTGATCAATGATGGATGGTAGGCTGGTAACTGACCTATCAAAGATGCAGATAAAAATGACCACCGGACAAGATATATTCAGATTGAGAAGATACTGATGTAACATGCAACAGCTCCTCAAAGGCAGCAGAATCTATTTCCATGAAAAACACCACCATCCACTTCACGTTATAGTACATTAAAATCCCAAGTCAATTAACACACTTGAAAGACGGTGAATCAGTTGAGTAACAAATGCACATCAGACGTCGCAGTCAGTCACACAGAAAATCGGCAAAAATCCATATGCAATAACAGGGTCTAATAACTGAGATGCATGCCATTCCAGATCTGCAAGGTTTTTCTATCGATGACCAGTAGTACATACATCTATGGTACGAACCAACCAAAGAAAAAGATGGTAACATGAAACTTCGGTTGATACACCATGCATGTTAACACAACGGGTTGCTGTCAAACTTCATCTGAAACGGCAGACCATCATGCAAGTAACCAGTCAAAATTAGGCTCTAGGTAAACGCAAGCTCCTCTGCTTTAGGAAACCCAGTCAGCGAACTACCCTGTTCATGCCTAGAAGATCAACAGTCAGCGAACTACCCATCTAAGGTGCTGCTGAAACCAGTTGCTTTTCCTTCTCCAGACCCCTTGATTAAGCCTTTTGCTTCCCAACTTCCACCAGAAGGGCCCTAATCCTCCTGAATGCTTCCTTTTCTTCAGCTCATTACCTTTGGTGACAATACATGTAAAACAAAGAATTATATCAGAATCCTTCTAATCAAGAGTAATACTCCCTCCGTTCCAAATTATAAGATGTTTGGCTTTTTTTTTATACGTTGCTTTTACTATGTGTATCTAGACATAGCATATATCTAAGTTCATAGCAAAAGGAATTTATCTAGAAAAGCCAAATCGTCTTATAATTCGGAACGGAGGGAGTAGTAATTAGTAAAACAAGTATACAAGAAAAAGAATATATCCTCAGATAAATTATAGCCTTCATGACATACTCAAAAATGAACTAAGAGCCAAATCAAGATCCAACACCTCTTATCTAGGGATGGCAGTCCAACCCACTGGTGCGGGGTACTCGGGGGTGCCACAACAGGTCGGTGTGGGTGCAAAATTCCACCTGTGGATTCAGGTGCAGGTGAGAGTCCATGATGACTTCACCTATGGGCGGTGGCGGAGGGATGTTCATTGAAAAAAGTTACACAACTAAGGGACAAAAGGCACCTTTCAAAAAAAAAAAAAGGGGGGGGGGCAGAAGGCTAACTCAACAACTGAAACCAGAAAAATAGTAGTTAAAACAAAAGGTGTGGTGTGCGAGCTTTCGTGCATGCATGGAGCCACGCAAATATGGCAACCATGCAGGAAACTTCACAGCACGGGGGCCAACCCATCGGTGCAAGTGCAGAATTTCACCCCTTAGGTAATGTGTTGAGGACAGGTTTTTACTCCCCCCACACCCAACCCAACCCATTACCATCCCGACTTTTGATCAACACTCAGGAGTAGCTTAAGAAAGAATGAAAGATATATTCAGTGCAAAGTTGTTCCTTGGTGCTTGAAATTAATGCTTGCATGTTTTGTTTTGCAATCCAATGCATGCTCAAACTTCGCTTGGATTTCTTCTAATCATGTCACACGTTCAGATCATCACTTCTTATTAAGCAATTCATATAAATTGTTAGGAAGCAAATCTCTAATATCAAATCCAAAGGTAACCAGCCTTCTCGCTATGAGGTTTCATGATGGTTATGCAATTCAATAACCAGTGATGTTACTCACTATGATTGGAAGAAACCGACCCCTGCTGTGCCTGTAGTGATGCATATGTTGGACCTAAAACTGGCCAAAATTGTTGTTGAATCTTCAAGACTTGAGAAACAGTCTTCAAGGCCTCTCTTGATGGTGAACCTACAAATGAAGCACGATTTGGACCATCCCCAAGTAGGACCTGCATTCATCACAAAAACCAAATAATTAACCCACCGCTAAATGGACGACAGCATCAAAAGGCTAATTATCTGCATTCACAATCTACCATGTTGTCGAGTGTTAGCATGTCTATGACCAAATAACTGCACGATGCTTGACATCTTAGCATCGATATCTTGCCTAATACTAAAAAAACAAACCTTGAAACAATCCCTGAAACTTTAGTCCTTGAACTACAAGATGTTCATAGGAATATAAAACTGTTGCTTCTTTATGGAAATTTAACAAGCAGCTGATACATTAAACACATTTTTGTAATATTTACATTTGGAAGCACCAGAATGACTGTCTTCAATGGTGCACAACCAAGCACAGGCGGAGCCACGTTATGGCCATAGAGGGCTCCAGCCCCCCCTTGCCACGCAAAAAAGAAATGAAGATCTATGCTTCTGTGCAGCGTATCTGTGTTGTTGTACAAGTCTGGATGGCTAGGCTAGCTAATTCAGCCCACAAGGCATAGGCGATGGGCCACCGGCCACATGCAAGCCAGCCCATTATGCACGCAGGAGCCACATGACTGGTGGCACCTGAGACCTGGCATTGCTCAACATGCAAAGCAAAGGGGAAGAAAATAATCCACATCCACCGAGTGGCCAAGACGGCCGGTGGAGGCTCACAGACGACGATAAGGCAACGAGCCGGAAGCCAGAGGCCGGAGCTGTCGATGCCTTGCGGCGGCCTTCCCAGTTGACTCGCCGACTCATCATCGGCCCCGGCCGGCGGGCGGCGGCGCCCCCACGCCCACGCTCGTTCGGCTCTGTTTCATAGACCATGTAGTTTAGAACCAAAACTTATTTCTATGGAACTTCTCTATATATTGTCTCGGATTTGACAAATGCCCCCCCCCCTATATTAGGCTTCACGCTCCACCAACCAAGGGTCTCTAGTGCTGCAGGAAGTTGCTGATGAGATTGCTCTCTTGTGCATGGTCGGTACTGAAGCGCTCTGTGAGTTACTCCTAAGGCCGTCTGTGTGGTGTGAGTTGGTCGCTGAATTTTGTGTGGCTAAACTGTTAAAATTATATCAAGGGGTCTGTGGGGTGTGTTTGGAAATGAGGGTCCCTAGCTCCTATTTTTCTACATTTCTTTCTTAATGAAATAATACAGAGCTCTCCTGCGTGTTTGAGAAAAAAAATTGAAATATTTACACATCCCATTCTCACACGACTAATGCTATTACTTATTAGAAAGAATACAGACCTTAACAACTTCAGTAGCTGATGAGGATATCAACCGGAGATTGTATCTGTAGGACAACACAGACGTTTTGTGAGTATTAACCAGGGAACTTTCTCAAAAAGGGCCTACCACCAGAGCGCTTATTAGAGTAAGATACTTTTGTCAATAAAAATGCACTATTTTCTTAAAAAAATATATAACCCTAAGGATTGATATGCACAGTAGGTTCCACATTTTCAGCCCAATACTACTACAGCAGCATACAAGCAATCGTTCCTTTGAACCTTGATGTGGCAACTTGGCATTGGCATCTCAGTCACCCATTTTTTAGTTAAAACATACACACCTAATGAAGTTGCATAGGCACATAGCATAACAATCAAGTCCTAGATTCTTTTTGTTTGGGCTTAATGTCTGACACAGAGCATAGCAGTAGCACGTATAATGTCCTACCTTAACTTTCAACTTTCTACAAATTGCTTATATTTTTCTCAAATTGAGAAGAGAACCAGGTACGTACCCTCCCTCAAGTATCACCAACAATCTTCCATTTGAGCAATCAGCTAGCAGGGATGTCATCCAAGAGTATCCAGCTGGAGTGACCTAATATTGAAGAAGGAAAGTTACACAAAAACTATGAGTTAGCATAATGTGGCTTCAGCATGTAATGTAATTGCACATCAAAAAACGTCAATACAACTCCAACATTAAAAAGAACCTGAAAGTCTACAGAACTGACTAGAAAACAAGAGTAATATCAATCAAAGGTTGCACTGAGTTTGGATTCCAATCTTCCAATTGGGAACTTCAGTGAACTTAATCGCTTCTTATATTTTTGCCAGTACTTTGGACCTACTGCCAAGTACAACAAAAGGAACATGCATCTTGCACTCATACTGTCATAATAAGTTCTAGATCATCCCTAGAAAGTTTTAGTACTTACATGAGGTTGTACCCCTGATCATGTTTTTTAAGGTGGCGCCTAGTTGTCGCCCGTCTAGGCACTAAAAAAATCTAGGCATCACTGTCGCCACGACCAAAAATCAGCAAAATGAGAGGAGGGGAGGGAGAAGAGGAAGAACTGGAGGACCAGGCAAGGACAACAAGCGCACCCGTGCTCCCATCCCCATCAGCTCCAGCTCCTGTCGCCATCACAGCTTTCTTCACAGGCCAACTTCTTCGTCATTGGAGATCTGGGAGGGGCAGCAGCAGGCCAGCAGCTCTAGTAGAGGGGATCTAGAAGGGGGCAGCACCAGCAGTGAGGAAGGGGAGGGGAAGAGGTAGGGAGGAATGGTTGCGTGTGGCAGCAGCGCATATGGAGAACAGGGGAGGGAGGGAGGCAAGAGGCACAGGGAGAGGGGCAGTGGCGGCACTGGGATGCTTGACAATGGTGCGGGGAGGACCACAGGTACAGGTAGGTCACGCAACACGCCAGGAAGGGTATATGGGCTGGCTGGTGGGCTGGGCCTTTTTTGTGCCTTGCCCTTCTAATAGTCACAGAAAACAGGGTCAAAGATATTGACCCTCGACCCAGGAACGTCGTCCCCAGCCCGCGTAAAAAGGGTCATTTTTGTCACCGTCTCTCACAAGTAGCATACTATGTTCCTCAATCCCATTCAACCTATCAACCCAGGAAGTTTGTGAATATGCCTTCTTCTTTTCTTTTCTTTTTTTCCTTTTTCTCCCTACTCTATGCTGCTTCTTTGAAGTTTCTAATAATCATATGGCGACGCCTTGCCTTGCCTTATGATCGCCTAGGCGATTGGAAGGGGGTGCCTCGCCACGTCTCACCTTACCACCTTAAGAACCATGCCCTTGATAGAATCAAATGCTTAAAAGCAGCACAAAATCTAGCTTCTACAAATAAGCAGGTCAAATAAACTCGGTTTCTGTATAATGTAAAAAAGAAAGGTCAGCCCTAACTTCCAAGAGGGAAGTCATCTGCTTAAGTATTGAGTCTTATCATTCATTTCCCAATAGAAACAAAGTAAACAAAGTAAGAATGTAATGCATACACAGGACAGGAGGGCAGCAGCCACATTTTAGAGTTTAGCAATCAAAATTAAGAGGAATCTTACATCACAACCACCCAGAGGGTCACCTCTAGCTGCATCGAATCCTGCAGATATTATAGTGATGTCTGCGGCAAACTCTGCAGCTCCACAAATACAAGATTCGCAACAACAATAATAATAAAAGCAGTAAGAAAGCTGTGGAACAGTATTGCAAAAATATGAGTCCATGAAGGCATGTAAATCAAATGGTTCAAGTGCTATTAGCAAACATGTTTCTTAATATGTTGCCAATTTCAGTAGGATCCTATGGTGGCCAGTCTCGATCCAAGCATAAGTCAATAACCAGAATTGGCTACTTATTTAATTCGGTATTAATGAGAATTTTCCTAGGTTGAAACTAGGCTAGGTGAATTAACCTAGTAGTAGTCTATACATAGCTTCTTGTGCATCTTTTGTCTTTCTTTTTTCTTTTAGTTAGTTATAGTTCCAACCTTGATAAGCAAATAAGAAACAAGTATTCAAATTTTAACAAATATCTGACATTTGACAATGAAAATTGAAAAGTAACGGCAGAACATTAATTCAAAGGCAAACAACACCTGTGTCAGCAGATAACAAAGCTGTCTGCAATTTTCTTTTTGAAAACATCATATCCATCTACCACAGATCCATTAAGCTCACTGCAATTCTAGAATATGAGAACAGCACCAAAGAAGAGGAGTCAAAACAATAATATGTACTAAATAGAATTTGCAACTTTTCATAAGTTACACTGCTTGCCTGACCATCAAAAATTAATCTTACCATGCTATGTGTAATCTCGTCCACAATTGGCATTGTGCAGTTGAAGCAAAACCATCTATTCTCAACAAGGCGACTAGCAGGTTCCCAATCACTGTCATCTTCCTCTTTACCATTAAAGAAAAACAGATCCTCCAGTGTTGCCCCAGCTTGCTCCCCCTCAGAGTCCTGTGGTAGATCATCAACAGCCATGAAACTTTCCTTTTTTACATCCACACAGCCATCAGGATCAGCACTCTCAACATGACCTATCCTCGCTGTGGAACCCTTGACCTCTTCTTCTAAAGCATCAGCACGGTCATTGTTAAAACTGCATGCTCTGCAGTTCTCTTTTGAGGCCTTCACATCAATATGACTGCCAGTCAACGAGGACACTCCATCCACTCCAGCACAAGGTTTTACATCAATGTCACAGCTTTGGCATTTGCCATGACAAGCTTGATCAGAAACCCCACACTTCTCCACGCCATGGGAGGTCTCACTCTTTTTGCCACTGCTAGGTGCTCTCATATCAGATGCCATAAGAGGGATATCCAGTGACGCTCAAATCTGCATCTAAACAAAAACAACAGATGAAAAACTAGCTCAAGAAACACACTTTAAACAGATAACACCAAGCATTATTGATTATACTATAAATCATTAAAGGGTACCAAATCTCACTACGAGCAAGCAGCAGACCTACTCGCGTCCCACCTGAAGCACAGGTAGTCAGACCACAGCCATAATAGAACAGTAACATCAGCATTACTGACTAACAGAACATCATCACCACAAAGCGCCAAGACAGCACTGCTGTTAATGCGTTACACTTGCAAAGGCACTTTCTGGAAATGGTTTTTTTTTTGCCAAATTCATCTATATGCTCACCTAGTCGCGGCTACCTACTTTTGCCGCGCGACCTTCATTAAACCCTTCTAAAACCCCACCCATCTCTCTTGCAACATTGTAACACTTTTGCAGCACAGAATCACTAAAACTCTAGGGAACACTCCACCTTCTCACAGCCATCACAGACAACTGCAACATCACCAAAAATGGTCTAGTTTCCAGAGTCTCGAAACGAAACAAATAAAAACTCCAGGCGCCTCCAGCACCACCCCCTCAATAAAATCCCGCACCTCCCACCCAGCAATCATGCATCTCCGTGGCCTGAACTGAACCCACCAGAATTTCTTAGAATATAAACTGCTTTTAGTACCCATCACCATACATCTCCCAGTAGCAACGAGCAGCAACGGACTGGGCGGACCAGAGGTTAAGTCCCTAGCCCAAACCGGGGAAAAAATACTACAGCAATCCACCCAAAACGACAGCGCGCTTCATTACCAACGGAAACGAGAGGATAACCGAGGCCCGAGCAGATCCCCACCGCGCGTCGATCTGCCGAGCGGAGAGGAGCGGGGATCCAGTGGGAGGACGACGAGCCCGGGCAGATCCCCACCCCCGGGAAGAAAAGGATGACACGCCCGGATACGGCGGGAGGAAGGCGGCGCGGGGCGGGAATTCCGCAGGCGGCAGCAAAACCGGCGGCCTCAGTGCCTCCTCACCCGCGAGGCCGCGACGGGGGAGTGGTGGAGGACTGGAGGGGGGAAAGGTGCAAGAGAGGGTTAGGGCGTAGGGCCCCAGAAGCCAGTCAGCAGTTTTTATATTGTTTTTCTGTCTGCTCTAGCCGTTTGAGGGGCCGGGGAAATTACTTTTGGGTCTTTTTACAATTTTGTCACAACACACGCTCTCCCTCGGCCTCTCGCGCGATTCAGCCCGTTCGGTTGACAGATTCATGTTGTTGATTCGGGAGCAAGTACCGTTGATTAGTTTGTGTGAGAGAAAAATACTGTTTCGGTTGAAAATTTATGATCGTTTACGATAAATCATAGCCAAACGAACAGGCCTATTGATTAGTTTGTGTGAGAGAAAAATACTGTTTCGATTGAAAATTTATGATCGTTTACGACAAATCACAGCCAAACGATTATCATCAGCTCACTTTTTGAGCTTTTGTTTTGTGAGATGATGATGTCATCCGCTCACATGCTCTGGCTGGCTCAAGTAGATTTTCATTTTCGAATATGCAGATATTGAGGTACAAGGATGCACAGTAGGTCCTGTTTGGCCTGTTAGGATATTATCCACCTGTTTTGAGGTACTGTATGCACAGTAGGTCCTGTTTAATTTTTGAATATTTCGGATATATAGGTACAAGTATGCTCACACGTAGAGTTGGTAGTAAGGGACTTGTTTGGAATACGAGAATTCCTTTTATGTTTTCATATTTTCACGTGAAATTTATGTGCAATTTCTATAAATTACTAGGTTTTAAACGGGAACTACCATATAACATATTTCATCAAGTGGGTCGCGGGCTAGTTGTTCTTCTCATGCCAATCTCAGTGGAGAGTTTTATGGCGTTGTTTTCAGGACTACCATGTTGTCTAAAACAAAATGAAACACACACTCTCAATGAAGAGTTTCATTCTATAGTTTTATAAACATTTAATTTCATGACTCACTAAGAGTTGGCATTCGTGCCAAGAGAGTTTCATCGCCTATAAAACACACTTCTCTCTTCTTGAAAAAGTTGCCACATCATCATAAGTGCCTGTGTGACAGCTTATTAAATGCAAATAAAACTCTAATAAAACCCATCAGTCCTCAAACCCCACAAATTAATACACATCGATCCTCGAGTATTTGAGTTCACATTCACATTAATTACGTTTACACCATGACCATATCAGATTTCTTAATGCGCACCACCACCACCGGCATACGATCACAGCGGTATTTCAGAGAGCTGGGACCATAGAAGTGTCATTACCACCGGACCGGACTATCCCAGACAGAATGAATCGAAATGCCAAAGCTTCTGTTGTGTTGACCATAGGTACAACGATAAATCACGAATCACCCACAAAAAACTGCACATATTACACAAACAGAAAAAGGGCAACAACGTATATCCCATGCCATGCCCTCCTTGTTTGGAGCCACGCTAGCCCTTCTTCCATGGCTGGATGACTGCGACGACAATGACCACCACTATCACCAGCAGTAGGATGATGGCATAGCACATCCACTTCCTCGAATTCTTCTGCAGTTTCTTCGCATTCTGGAGTGCGGTCACGCCATGCTGTATGTGATTGGTGGCGTTCGAGACCTTGAAACAGAGGGTGGAAATTGACATGTAAGTGATTTCATCAAGCTTGTTATTAATTATTGAAAAAACACATGGTGCTTGTCCTATATACAGCAGGCTCAATGCAGAAGTAGAGAACTCTTACATGTGTCTCGATGTTGTTGATCATGTCTCCTTGAGCCTCAACAAGAACTGCCATGTCCATGAATATCTAAAACACAAAAACAAAGAAATGGTATAAAGAGGCAGAGACGGTCAACTTACTGAAAGGTACATGTGTTTTTATGTGTGTTCTATATTCTTTAAGTGTTCTAAATTAATCCCAGCAGCCAGTTCCAACAGTTGACCGCTAAGTGTTCTGAATTAATCCCAGCAGCTAGCTCCAACAGTTGACCGCCCACCCCAACCCAGACCACACATAATCACATGAGTTAGGGACGCAGCAACTACACCAGTTAGTGTTATTTATTTAGAGTTTCTGTTGGAAACTAGACGGTATATTGAGGGGAACTGTGTTCATTGAATGGCCATAGCTTTTGCAACATACTATATTATTACATAGAAGAACTTATGCCAAAAAGAGAGAGAGAGAGAGAGAGAGAGAGAAAGAGAGAAAAGAAAAAGGCATCACCTGTTGCAACTCCAAAAGCTTCCTCTCTAGATCCCTTACAGCATCATGTCGCTCCTGTATTTCTGCAACTGTGTCCAGTATCTGCAAATGTGGAAAAGTAACATATTTAGACCTGTTACCTGAAACCAATATACTACCTCATAACTCGTAATGACCTATGTAACTATGGTAGACCACATACCTGGCCTCTTCCCTGATGTTGGATAGCATCTTTGAATATTTGCTCACTTTTCCGGTCTCTATCAAGTCATCAATTGTCTGCACGGTTAGAGGCAACCACATGAGAAATTGTGAAGTCCACCATAATCAAAGTTCACTGGAAAATAACAGCACAATGGCATGTACAAGCATAGCCACAGGTGAAAAGTATGGTGGTGCACATGTGCAATACTCACCTCTTCATCAGGGCGATTACCAGTTACAGTAAAAACCCTTCTTTCAACAACCTCCCGATACTCTTGCCTGATTGCTTCTCTCAAGGTCTGCACCAGATATTAATAGGGTAACTTACATGATACAAACAATATATTTAATTTTCGCCACAGATTTGTTGGCAATTGGCAGGTATTCGCAATGATTTACAAACTTGAAGCCCTTCTAGAATCATACCATCAGCTAACTAATACTGAGAACCGAACCTGTAGCTGACCATATTTTTATTATTATTATTTGGTTGAGTAAAACATGCTATTATCAATGAAGATACTCCCCCTGCTTATAATGAGTCAGGCATGCAGAATTCTTATAATTGGATGTCTCTTAGGCATGGAAAAGTAGAACACTTCCTCTTTGCTACTCTAGAAACCATATTCAAATCTTCCTAGAACCAATTAATTTTGTACAAGTTTGTGTTTTAAGATCATCCTATGACCTATGTTAATAGGACCCCACCCCCCTGCCCAGGGGGGCTTAGGTTACTAATCACCCTAACCTACATATGTAGGGGGAACCAACATATCACAAAACACTTAAAACAGCATAAGCATCACATGCATGGAAAGGCAGGATTTTTCCACCAAAGGAACACAGTACCTGAAAATCATCCATCCGCTCCTTCAATTTCTTTTTCACTGCTCTGTAGAAATTGGAAAACATATTGAATAACCAACAGATTCATGTAAGCAAGTAAGCAGCATAACTAAAAGCTCTGAGATGAAATGTTACCCAGTAGTTTGCTCTCTTGATCGGTCCACGGCAGAACCCTTTCCACATCCTGGTTTTTGCCTATTCGATAAGTTCTGTTCCATAATGGTAGCAAACAATTCAAGGTTTGTTGATAGCAGAGCACAAGTTAGCTTGATTTAAACAATTATAAATACCTATTTCATAAGTTTTCAGGAAATGTTGTTGGTTACAATGAATTTAGCAATGTTTCTGAACAAAAAATCTTACAAAATGACATATAATAACAAAGACAAATATTGATAACTATCAGAGTCAAGCAAGAGCATACATCTTTTTCCAGTTCATCAACTTTTGTCTTTGCCTGACGAGCAATTTTCCCCACTTCATCAATATCTTTCTCCATCCTCTGCTTAATTGCTGTGAAAAAAGAATTGTTGTGTCTAACCATAAGCATAGAGGTATTTCCAAAAGAGTGCATACATATTTCAGATAAAGGTTAAATCTGCTAGAATAAACAAGTACTTACCTTTCATGGAACTTGCTTTTGTAACTGCTTTGGATTCCTCATTTGCAGTCTACAAACAAAAGTTAGGTTTCTGATATTAATGCACATGTCGAACATAGATTCATAAGGAAAATGGTAATAAAAAACAAAATCCCATTGTGACTACTAAAATCCAGGCTGTTCGCATAAGAAAAAGAAAACGACAAAGAATGAATGGCAGAATGAATATACCTGGAGCTTATTCAATAGATTTGTCAGCTTTGCAATTAAACTCTCAATTGCATCGACCTGTTATATCACAAAGCATTATGTCATTAATCAGAAGGGAAAATGTTGGAGTTGGACAAACAATATTTATGTAATTCGATGCGAACAGCAGAGTACATGTAATAACGTAAATATGGTAAGATGGAGAGATGCAAGCAGCAGAGCATTTATGCAAACAGCACCTTCTTCAAGAAATCTTTTAAGTTGTCTGAAGCATCAGCCTGATGCATTCCCATTTCAATGTCCGCATCTCTCGAGGAGTCCCGCCGAGGGAGCTCAAAGGAATCCTGTGAAGATATTCATCAGATGTTACACAAGTACTACAGTTCAATCACAGAAGAATGGTAAATTATAATTTATAATCCCAGTATGAAAAGTCGTGTGCTACATGTACCAACTTAAAATAACAGGACTGCGACCCACATAGGAAATATCACCATTCCATTCCCAGCAGGGCAGATAGATTTCCAGTTTGACTATTTCACATCATTTCCATCGCAAAAGTGTATTTAACAAAGATTACGATGCACCATGAAGAAGTTCTAGCCAAGCGGAGAAAAGAAAAGGCTTTAAAACACATCAAACTCCAGTTAATACAAAGCCTCCTGAACTAGAACTTCAACGGCTGAACGGCAGCACTTAATACATCTGCTAGTGATCATTGCCGCTGTTTAATCAGGGCAATTGCTCCACAAGCAATTAATGATGCTTGAAGCAGGACAGTCCACTCCAAAGGTAGAGAATACTATCTCAAAGGAAGCTAAAAAAAGAGCATCTCCATCCCCGACACAACCATAGGAGGGAGGCACAGAACAAGCAGCCAGAAGCAGAGCAAGCCCATTTTGCTTCTAGCGCAATTCAGCTGCTCCCGAACCAAAACCACGCAGATCTAAGGCGACGACCCGGCAAGCGGGCACCCTACAGCACGTAGCCGAGAAGCCCCGGGGCCGGTTGCTTCCACAGCCCGCCCCGCATTCCGACCCGCCGCCGCGCGGCTCAAGCAATCCCTTCCCCCGCCGATCACTCCACCGCCGCCGGATCCTCCCTGGACCCGGGAGAGCCCCTGCGGGAGGAGCGCGCAGCGCCGACCGGCCCGCCCCAGATCTCGAGCTCGCGCGCCGGATCCCGGCGAGCGGCTGAGGAGGTGGGGGAGTCTTCCCGGATGAGAGGAGAGGGTGGAGGGAGGGAGGGAGGGTACCGTGAGGAGGTTGTTCATGGCGACGAGCGGCGAGGAGAGAGAGGCAGGAGGGCGGCGAGCGGCGAGGAGAGCGGAGGCCGGGGAGGAGGAAGGTGTGGCCGTTGCGCCGCAGAGGATGCTTAAAGCTGAGGAGAGAGGTGGGGTGGGCAGGGGTTAACGCTGCTGGGCGCCGCGGGATGCTGAGGCTGGCAGGTGGGCCATTCGGGGCCTTTTTCGGCAGGGAGGCAGGCTGGCAAGTGTCATGGAAAGTTTTTTTCTTTCTTTTCTCTTTCCATTCCAGTGGTGTGAATTGAATTCCATATATAATCAGCGAGGAAAGGGAAAGAAGTGTGGTTGATAGAGATAGAGCAGTATTTTTATGCAAATCCAGCTGGCTTCTTCGCAAGCTCGCGAATAACCTATTTTTGAGCGGATTTTATGGCAAATAAACCCAACAAAAGTGCCTGAATTTTAATTTTCTTCTCGGCGATGCTTATTAATGCTAAAATTACAGATTTAGTTCGTTGCAATTTACGTAGACATAATCTACGATGTTCGGTTTGGAGAATAAAAATAAATCCATTAGACAAAATCATAAACCCAGTGAAATCTGATTTGTCTTTGCGCAATGACAATTAACAATTAACAATTGTTTCTGTAGTCAGACAAGGACAAAAAGTTGATAGATTATGATACAAAGACAAATAATAAATCACAAAAATAACAATGTACTTGTATTAATTGGTTGCACAAGAGTCTTGTCTAAAATTATCTTAAAATCTAGGCACCTAAAGTATAGGTGAGGTGTCCAACAAATGGTCACTATACATCTACTTGTTAAATAAATGTATATTTAGTGTTATATTACTTTAGATATTTTGACCGAAGACAGAACTACTCGTGTAATTTCCTGAATAGAGAGAGCAGCTTATTAGTTTTGTTATCTAGACATGTTTTCATGGTTTTTTTTTTCTTTTGAAAAAGAGAACAATGTATGAGTAAAGGATGGGATACCTTGTCTCAACAGCCTTTTCCATCTCCCATTCCGTTGAAATTCGCTTGAATTGACGACGACGAAAAGCCCATCTCCAGGTTAGGTTTAATTCATTCCTTCTCCAACGGACTAGTAGCAGGCTGCCTCGCTGGTGGCTTGGGCCATGTTTAGTCGGCAGGAATCGGCGCCGTCAGATTACGGTAGACTATAAAGATTAAATTTTGTTTGTGTTTAATAATAATTATTCAATAATTTTTTAATTAGGTTCAAAACGTTTCGTCCTCAAAAAGTACAACTAAATTGTGCAATTATTTTTGATTTCAAACATTTAATCTCCATACATGTATCCGTCGAAGTTTGATTACGGATAATCTCTTTTTAAACGTGCCAAAGTTGACTGCGTTGCTTCCCCAGGCAGCTGGTCGAGAAAGCGAGTTCACTGCGTCATGCAGCCGTAGAAGATTTTCTGACTCCGGCTCTGTTTAGTTCGTGAATTTGGGGAAATTTGACTACTCTAGCATTTTTTGTTTTTATTTAACAATTAGCAGATTTTCCGACTCCTTTTTCCGGCCGCTCTTGCTCGTAATTTTCTGCGCTGTGTAATTAACTCCGCATTTAACAGGTCAGCGCCTGTTAGATTGGATCTAATGACTTATAACACTTTTTAAAAATTTGGTTGGCAACTAAACATGGCCTCCTTTTTCCGGCCGCTCTTGCTCAGCCTCTGCGTTGGAACTCCGCGTCAACAGGTCAGCAGCCTGTTATAAAGATCGTAGCCCAATCAAATAAATAAGGTTTTTTTGCCAACTGCCAGAGGCAGACGGACTTATAAATCGAACCGGCCAAACGGCTAGGTCGGCTGCCAGCCACTGCCAGAGGCAGACGGAGACAAAACAGCGGCGACGTCGGGCCCACCCGCACCGGACTCCGCGGGTAGCGCGTGGGGGGCCACCTGCAGGTCTTCTCGCCGCCCTGGCGCAGGTGGACACGGGCGCCCACGGAACGAACGGGAGGGCTGGACCGCTGGAGCCTGGAGGTGGCCACGGCCGGTGGCGGTGGGTGCGCGGGGCCCGCCGGGGGAAAGCTGTCCGAGCTGGAGGACAGCGCAAGCATGTTTTCCTGCTTTATTAATCCAAAACAAATCTCCAATCATATTGTTTTTTACGTAGTGGAGTACGTATACGTATTATATACTGATCCAACCATAGTGGTAGCCCATATTCGCGCGGCTGGGTTAAATTAAATTATTGTGAAAGGATGATAAAGCTCTACGCTCTAGCCTAGCCACACCTGCACTGCAAGGGCAACTTACTTGCCTTGGTGAGCAATTATGTTATCCGTTTATGCAGATGAGAGGCTAGCTACTACTGTCACAGCCAACTATGTGTTTTGTCTTGGATGCATATTTTTTGACCAATAATATCTATAAAAAAATCTTCTAAAATTATGAGAAGTTGTAATTATTTTTTCATTATAAAATCTACTAATTCTCGATGCTATTTACTAAAAGATTTAAGAATTACTAAGTGTACACGCAAATAAAAGGTTTGACTAAGTGTTTTCTTAAATGATATGTTTTCGTGATCGGCAGGAGCACTACGTGCGCTCGCCACTGAGACATTTGTGGACCGTCGATGGTCCATTCTACGTCCGATCGTAAAGAAAACTAAACGCGGTAGTGTTATATAGTTGTATAATTGTATAATATCCTGTTTCCAACCTCTTGGAGCATCTTTTATAAAAAAAACTCTTGGAGCATGGGGAACTATAAAAAGTGAAATAACCATACATCTTCTATTCGGTGTTGGAAAATAAAATCTTTTACTAGTGTCTAGTAACGATGGGAAACCTATATTATACATGACTGTGAAAGCTGGAGTTTTACACAAATGATGACAAATTCTTGTTTAGAGCATCTCCAAAAGGCTTTCTAAAATATTACTCTCTAAATTATTATTTAGAGTCATTTAAGTAAAAAATATTTTCTATATCCTTATACCCTCCAGCAAATTTTCTATATTTTGTCCGCACTTTAGAGAACCACCATCGATCTTCATCTTTGGTTAACGAGAAATCCCGAATAGATTGAGAGATCTATTTAAAGAGGCTACTAAAGGGTATTTTTATTAGAATCTTTATCCCTGTAAATTAGGAATGATATTGCTCTTAGAGCAACTTCAAGAGACTTTTATATCCTTCTGTCATGATGAGAATATAGATTTTGTTGAAAAAAAATTCTACAATACATTCTTCAATTAGATATCAAATATTGTCATCCTTAATTCTAGATTCTCGTTAGCCAAAGATGAAGAGTGGAAATGGCTCTATAGAGTGCGCACAATCTCCACTGTTGGATGGTGGAAAGACATAGAGAGCAATTTTTACTGGATTTAAGAAAACTCTTTTTTTTTATCGCAAGTTTAAGAAAACTCTTTGGAGATGAATAGGTGATGATGCTCTACGCTTCAAACAGAAGGGAAAAAAAAAGATCCCATCGCCACGAAGCCCAGTGTGCAGAAGCCCAGTGTGCAGATCGCGGCCATGAGCCCACCGACGTACCGCCACAAAAGCCATTGCAGCTAAAGCCCACAGCCCACGAGACTCCAAGATGGCCGGGCAGCCCTGCCGACACAGCAGATCGCTCGCCACGCGGCTCCACCGTCGGCAAACCTCCCCCACCGACGGACGCGGCGACGCACGTCACACCTTCCGCCGGCCTTCTTCTCCTTTCCATTCGCGTCTTCTCCACTCCGCTCTATAAAAGGAAGGCCGGATGCCGCTTCCATTCTCGAAGCCGCTGCGGCACGCGTCCTTCTTCTGCTTTGCTTGCCTCCCAGATCTTGCCGACTGACTAGCTGGGGGCAGTCGAGCCGAGCCGATCTCCCATCCCGCACCGCGCCGCCACCGCCACCACCTCTGCCGGCGGATCGTTCCTTCTACTTCTACTGCGTGATCTTTGAACAAGCTAAGACACCGACGCGTCGCCACCAGCAAGGTGAGAACCGAAGAAACGCTCCTCTGTTCATCCCCACTCCTGCAGTCCTGTTACTCCAGTTGGATGGATCGGTTCCCCATAGTGCTTGCCTTCGCCTCTACTCACTCTGTTCAACCTCCCAATCCAGATTCCATTAGCCGTCGATGTGTCTAGTCTATCATTATCTGCGTGAACATCGTGAAATGGTTGATAGAATAAGGACCTGTAAGATTCTCTTTGTGGAAAAAAAATCCATGCCAATAGACCAATTCATCCATAGCGTGGCAAATCCATTCAATAGTGACTGAAATTTGTAACTGCATCCCGCAGGGCGGCTTGATCGTATTCAAGATGGGGAAGGACAAAGAAGCTCCCAAGCTGAAGGAGGAGGAGAAGAAGTCCAAGGATGAGGTCCATCTCAAGATCAAGAGCAAGGACAAGTCGACAGGTGAGGTCGACGACAAGGAGATCGAGATAGAGATCGAGGCCAAGTTTGTTGAGAAGGAAGAGGTCAAAGACTCGGGTGATGGTGCAGGGTCTGCCGGAAAGGGTAAAGAGGGGAAGAAAGACAAGAGAAAAAGAAGACGGAGAAGTCGGAGAAACATGAAGATGACGAAGATGATGAGAAGGTGAAGGATAAAAAGGAGAAAGACAAGAAAAAGAAGGGAGATAGTGAAGATTCAGAAAAGGCAGACAAAGACAAGAAGGATAAGAAGGCTAAAGAGAAGGTAAAAGACAAGGATGGATCAGAGTCGAAGGGTTCAATTGATGAAAAACAAGAGAAAATGAAAGATAAGAAAAAGAAGGAAGGTGACAAAGATGTAGGGGAGGAGGAGAAACACAAGAAGAGAGAAAACGAAGATAAGAAGGATAAAAAGGACAGAGAAAAGGATGGATCTGAACCAAAGGGTTCAAGCAATGAAAAACAAGAGAAAGGCAAAGACAAGAAAAAGAAAGACAAGAAGAGCGAAGAGATGGAACAGAAGGAGGGCCATCTGGAGAATAAGAATGATGAGGCCGCACAGAAGGTTGTTCACATGAACAAAGAGTTCGCAGGAGCTGCAGACTCAGGCACCCGTGAAATCAAGCTAACTGACGCTGAACCACATGAGAAAGAAATTGATAGTGAAGATTCAGAAGGCAAGAAGAAAAACAAAGAGAAGGAGGACAAGGATGAAGCGAAGAAGAAAAAGAAGGATGGTGGTGAGGACGATGAAGGCGAGAAGAAAGACAGAGAAAAGAATGAGAAGAAGAAGGACAAGGGTGACAAGAAGGAAGATGGTAAGAAGACACAGGGTGATGGAGAGGAAGACGGAGAAGGTAAGAAGAAAGACAAGGAGAAGAAAGAGAAGAAGAAAGACAAGGGTGCAAAGGAGAAGACGACCGATCCAGTGAAGCTGAAAGCAAAACTGGAGAAGGTGGATGCCAAATTGCAAGACCTACAGGCTAAGAAAGAAGACATCCTGAGGCAGCTGAAAGAGCTGGAAGAAAGCGGCAAGGGAAAGACCAATGAAGAGAAGCCTGCACATGTACAGGAGGACAAAGGAAAGGACACGGCAGAGGTGCCTGCACATATACTGGAACAGGGTGGAGACAGCAAGGTCAAGGAACAGAATCCTGTTGCCGCAGCCTGATCTTGTGGAGCTCCTGCAGCAGTTCATGTAACAATAACTCTGATCTGGTTCTATAAATCTATACACATGCATTGCACTGTGTAAAGGAACAAACATCTTGAGCTGAGTTGTAAAATGCTACATATGTAAATATCTGGATCTATGTGTGTCTCACCATGCAGAGAAACATATAGCTGAGTGGAGTGCGTCGTCCTCCCGATCCCGATACATATCGCTGTAATACTTGGCTATGTGAATAAGAGATATACCCCAAAATGTTGTTGGATCATATTTGAACTGATACACATTCAGTAGTCTCAATTCCATCGCTGCAAGTATGTTCTCTGTGATCTGCTATAATATCCCTGTGACTGTCTGAACTACAATAGCAAGTATACACCTTTTACCCAATGGGGATGGATATGCCCAAAAGGAAGTCTGCCGTGCTCGAAACCAGAAATGCTCTCGTTGACAAATCGTACTTGCAAAAAGACCTTGATGATATCTACTGCCTACAGCTACGAAGCTCTCTTCTCTGATGACTTGGGCACATACCGAACCGCGTAACAAAACATTATTGTGATTTGTCCACGACTTTAAGGGAGTAGGGAATACATGCAGGTGCTGACTGTGAGAGCGGCTCTTCATTCGGAGCTCAGCAGGCTCTCCAAGTACCTTTCCACGTTGTCCAAGCCGCACAGTTCCTTCACCACGGGCATGATGGCAGGAACTTCCAGATCAAAATGGGATGGTGAAGGCGGTCCAAACCCAGACCAGTGTGGTTAATTCATTCCTTGCAGCTCTCTAATTGCTTCTCTTGTCGCACAGTGCACTGAAGTGCAAGAAGCAATGGTGGCTCCCCAGATGCTGGCGCGGGTAGAACAGGGCGGAGGGTGGCAGCCGGCGATGGCATAGGCAACGTTGGCCGATGAGCGAGGCCTCATGGCCACGGCGACGCGCGCGGCAAGTTCGGCCCAGGCGGCGGCGAGCTCGGCCTGGCTTAGTTAGGCTCCTGATCCCGCTGGCCAACGCGAGCGAGGAGATGGAGGGGCCGAGGTCCTTGTGATCATCGACGCGCTGCGCTGGCCGAAGGCGGACGTCATGGTGGTGTTGGCCGAGGGCAGCACTGAGGTCGTCGCGCGCCACGGCATGAGGCTCGTCGCTGACGTGCCGCTGGACGAATTTTTTTGCCAAACAATATTATCTCCTACAATCTTCTATATAATCTTACCATATGAATCCCGCCTCCAAAAGAGGGCCAGGCAGCGTGGCCAGGTCCATCGGATCAGATCGTGCGAGCTCCGGTCTTTTACAAAAAAACCTTGAACTTTAGTGGAATCAACCCATAGTCCAAGCCTCCTCTTAGATTTTTTTTCAAAAAGCCCTTGAACTTTACCGAAATCAACCCTCAATCTAGGCCCCCCTCCTCGCAGCTGGTGGTGAGGCGGGATCTCGCCGCATGGGCTTGCTGCTGCGGTGGCTCTCTCGCCAAGGCGTGGGTGTGGCTGGCATGTGAGTCACCGGCCTTGAGCACCTGTAGCGTTAAAAAGGCACCCGCTGCAGGTCCTCGCGCATATCGGCGAGTTGACGACGTTAGTGGGATCTAGGCTGCGGGTTCGCCGACGCGGCAATGGATCAGCGCGGGCGCGGTTACCGCACTGCAGTGGCCTGTTCCCAGCCACGGGCTACGGCGTCGATTCCCTGGGATCTAGCAGATCCATTTCGCTTCTCCATAGAGCAGATCGCTCGTAGCTGCTTCCTCTTCGTCCAAATCAGCAAGCAACGAGCACAACCAACAGGCCACTGCTCCCTCCTCCCCCACGACTCTCCATGTTTTCCTCGCAAGAGCATAGCAGCAGCACCATGCCAGCAGCAGTAAGCTGCAGGGCAGGTGGTCTCTTATCTCCGACAGTGCCTGGGCTTGGGTTCGGACAAGCGGAGGCGGAGGCTGTGCCGTGGCGGTAGAGGCGCCGACTTCCTCATCAACCACGGCCTCGGCCGGTGCGCTGCCTTCGCTCCCGTGGCGTCCTCGGGCGACAGCCGCAGAAGCGCCCCTTTGGGCTTACCGCGTCCTTGGCCAGGCTGCCGCAGAGCGGCTTTGCGCCGGAAGCGGTACGCCGGCCGGCGTAGCCGCCGTACGCAGGCCGTGGCAGCACCGACGAGCCCCAGCGTGTCCACCTGCAGGTGTGGCCCGGATCGACGGCGCCGTGGACCTACGTAAGGCTTCAACCCTGCATCGGATTTCCTTCCCGGTTCGAACTGATTTTCTCCCCTTTTCCTCGATAAAATCCCCTAGCAAGCAAACTTGATGCATGACGTGAAGGGGATGGAGGAGCGCACTTCCTCGGCGACAACGACGTCGCAGAAGTCCACGCGGGCTGCGACGCCGAGGTGGACTGCCGTGATGTCGGTAAGATGGAACACGGGTGAGTGAGCGCGCCTTCATTATCTTCTTGTTCCGTGCCTCCGCCTGACAGCCTCCCTTGCTTCCAATGGAATCTTGATTCGTTGCTTTCCGGTGCCATAGCGCTCTGTGCTATGTCACTGCTTGTGGTTGATCTGCTCCCTGTGTTCCATTTGATGTGGCTATAACAAGTCGTAGCAGATTTTATGCGGCGAGGAGACGACGGCGTGACTGTGCGAGGCAACGAGGGCTGTTAAACGTCATATAGTCATATGCTCGATTGTTGCTTCTATTCAAATTAAATTAATAGCACTTTCCTTGACTTTATGAAATTTGGGAATTGAGAAACATAATTTGGCTCCCATAAACGTAAGCATGAGTCCATCTGTGGATAGGCTTGATCGTACTGGATGAGATGATCTTCGAGTTCACAGAATTCATGGATGGTTGCTAATGTGCAGAATCCTGATGTTAGTACACTTAAGTTGATTTAATTTCTTTGTACATTGCAATTGGAATCTTCACGGTGTTCTTCTTGCTATTTAGATCGTTAGCACTTTGTTCTTGGGGTCCAGACATCAAGATCTTTATTTTCCCAGTTACTCAACTCATTGTTCCGTGCACCAATGTCCTTTTTTGATTCTACCCTCTTGGAAGGGTACTTAGCCGGGTAAGGATACTTAAACAAATCGTTCATCTCCCTGAGATATATTGGGTAGTGAGGTTGGTTGTCAACTTGCAACTCCTACATATTAGTTGTAGTGTGAACGTCTCAACCACCAATCAAAGCGAATCTTTAAATTTACTAGACAGATAAAATATGATAGTCCAAAGTTCTATTTTACATTTGGATAATTCCTATTGATGGATGAACTTACAAATTCTTTTATCCAGGTCTCTTTAGATTTGAGTATTGTTGACCTTGATGTTCCATTTGGATTGATGTTTGTTGCGGGTGCGAGCATAAATGCATATAGAAATCTTGTGGTATTGGCTGTTGTTACATGGAAAGTTCTATTCGTAGTTAACACTGCTCATGTGTTTTGACCATCCATTTCTACAGAATACATGTTTATGTTATATATGCTGTTTATAATTTTTTTTATATTGCGAATTATGAAGATCACTACTGCTATGAGAGAATGTGGTCTTCAGTCATCAAATCTAATTCTTTGTATTGACTTCACTAAAAAACAATGAGTCATCAGGTCACAAGTGATTTCATTCTGCTTCCTACTTCATGGCTTTCTTTCTGCTGTCTATTTATAATTTTTTATTTCAAATTATGAAGATCACTACTGCTCTGAGAGAATGTGGTCTTCAGTTATCAAATATAATTCTTTGTATTGACTTCACTAAAAAACAATGAGTCATCAGGTCACAAGTGATGTTATTCTGCTTGCTACTTCATGGCTTTCTTTCTGTTGTACTTAAGATTATCCTGTCAGACAGTTAAAAAATTATAAGGCAATATGTGGAGGCCATTATATGACTACTTTTATAGATGCAATTTTTCACTGCACTTGTCATTTGTTTGTAGATCACGAGGATAAGCATGAAAAACATGTGAGCAACAAAAAATGCCGTTTCAAGCAATGTCCCATTTTTAGTGGAAAGAAAAATTATGGCTAGGTGGCGTCCACCACATGCCAAGCCTCCATTTGTGGATTTGTAGGTATGGTTATTGGGGAATTCACTGAGGAATCCACTGTTCCGTTTCTTGCTTATTATGCCGTGCTCCTAGGACATATTTGAATGACCCTTTGTAATCAGAACCCAAATTTGCTATGGATTCTCTTGTTGAATTAGAAAATAAGATATGCATTTCTTTATGTGCGATAATCAGTCTGAGAATGTTGCATAGTAGATAAGGTCAAATACTGCACTTACGTACCTCTGCTTTTTTCTTCGTGTAATTTTCCATCTTTACACTCTTCGTATATGCTATCTTATATTACATGTAATTAGGCAAATGAGCAAAGTAAAAAGGTATATGAACTGTAATGTAGCCTATAAGACTCATTCCTTCTTAGTTTACTATTACAAAAAATTGGCATTTTTCTCATTCCAGTAGGCTTCCAAGTAAACTTAAGGTATAATCAGTTAATGCTTAATGCTTATTCACACCAGCATCTTATTATAGTCATCCTACATAGATGTTTTTATATGTTTATCAACTGACTGAAAGGTTCAGTTTTCGTTTGCGAACATTTATTGTCACTGTTGTGATACCACATACATGCTCATTCTTTTCCCACAAGAAAGGTATATGACTAATTGTGTTGCAGGTGAGGCTCCATTCACAAGAGAAAAAAATAAGATTGCTTTGTAGCAGAGTTGGAGCATTTCTGTAGCTCAGCATTTGTGGTTGTGATCAATGAAAGGTAAGCACACAAAGACTGAAACAGCTGTAGTTTTCTAAGGGCATGTTTAGTTCAACTCCAAAATGCCAAATTTTTCAAGATTCCCTATCACATCGAATCTTTGGACGCATGCATGAAGCATTAAATATAAATAAAAAATAAAACTAATTACACAGTTTAGATGAAATCCACGAGACGAATCTTTTAAGCCTAATTAGACTATGATTGGACACTATTTATCAAATAACAACGAAAAATGCTACAGTAGCATTTCGCCAAAAATTTCGGCATCCAAACGGTGCCTAAGCATGGATTCGATGAAACAAAGCTATACTATGTTTTGGGACTGCAAATACAACAATTTTAAAAAATGTAAAAAAGCAAATATTTAGCCAAAGCTTCATCATCAGTCTGACTGATGCTACTTTACACCTACCAATTGGATTGCCTTTGTATCAGCGTGTATAATATATTAAAAAATAACATGTCTTGTTGTGATTAAGCAGCCTCTTCACCAACCTGGAGCTGTCAGTCTGGCAGCGCTGAACTATCCAACCGGAGCCCGAAGCTTGATCGACCTTTATGTTTGCTATCTTAGGACATATGTTATGTTTGTATTTTTAATCCTCTATGTCAGTTATCTTAGGATTATGTTATTGGTGTGTTCTTCTCTTTCGTACGTCATTATCCATAATTAACTGTCTTGTTCCAAAAGAACATATGTGGTGCCAACCCGTGTGTAGGGGCGCGCCTAATCACTAGTATTATTTAACTGCGCACTGGTATGTCCTAAAGTTTCCCTCTTATGTGACTCTCTAAATGATGTACTTGTTGATCCGAGAAAAAATCACCATACAAGCTTGCTGAGATTATTAAGATGAACCTTTTTTTTCTATACATACTCCCTGTCTTACATGTAGCAGCTATGTTCGCATTTCAATCTGAGATCATCAACATAAACAAGCCAGAACTTTGGCTGCATGTATAAACCCTGTGATCAATGTATAAGCTACATACCACCTTCCGATCTTAACTCCTATATATTAGTATCTTTTGGTGTATATAATGCCTATTAAATCTGAACCGTTCAACTAAAAAAAAAGAATCTAAACCGTTAGATATTACAAGAATAATCTGCAATAAACGACTACAATAAAAGCAGGTATATTGTTATGCATTTCAGCACATGGAAATAAAGAAGAAGCTATAGGGCTGCGCCAAAAGTTAGACACAAATCAAACACTGGGCTCCAGAAGCATGGGCACGGCAACGCCGCGCCATTTTTTCTAGTATACAACTAAAGAGTTTTACTTTTTTCAAAGATTGCACGCATCTCAAAACACCTGGGTGATTAATTAAAATTAATTACGTTTGGATCTGGACTTGGGCTGACCCTGTCCGTGTCCAAGCCCATGCCCAGGCGCAGTCCACTCGATCCGTTCCCATCTGCCGCCCACCCCAGCCCGGAATCATTTCTCCTCTCGTCTCGCAGTCAGCACCCACATTTCTCGTAGGAACAGGAACCGGAGAGGCGGCGGCGGACGGCGGCGGCGCCAGCCATCCTGCAGATTGACGACGGTACCTCCGCTGGACGGCCGCGCCGCATCCCCCGCCTCCGCATCCAGGTCAGTTTCTCGGAAGCGGCAGCGACAGCGACGACGGCGAGTGGCCATCACCGCTGGCCGCGGCAATGGCAAGGTGGCAACGGCATTGGGGCGGAAGGAAGTTGCGGCATCGTCTTCCCCCATAGGCCATGGATCTAGCACGGCCGCAGGCCTCTTCCCCGTTGGCCACGAATCCGGCTCGGCCGCCGGCTTCTTCCGCGGACCACTGCGCTTGAGATGCTCGGATGGCGCATGGTGGCCATGTCGTCTTGCATTGGCGGCCCACTTTGCCCAGCATCTTGTGGCAGGCATTTTGCGGCACCAATATTGCTGGTAGCCTCCAAGTCAGTGATGCCGTGGAGGTGTTCGAGCTTATGCTCCAATGGGACACCACTTCAGCACTACTCTGTTTCTAATGCTTGAATCAATCCCCGTGTACATGTGCAGGCTGGAACCTGGGAGGATAATTTTTTTTCTCTGATATTTGCTGACTAATGTGTTGTATTTGATTAATATACTTGTAAACATCCCCACCTAAATAGGCCGAGCTGGGCCGAATTGAATAGCGCTGGGCCACGGGTGCGTACTGCAGCGCCGAGTTGGGCCGGGCCAGAATCAGATACTGTAGTTAGGATACTGTGCACTGGCTACTGTATCATCTTGGAGCACTGTTCACCCCAGGTTTAGTACTTAGGCACGACCAGATCAGCTTAAAAAGCCAGACAAGGACGCATAGAAATCTTCGCTTAACCGTTTTACGCGAAGCGAGGACGAAAGCAAGCGGGTTACTATGTAGGTGGGGTCTACCCTCGGTAGAGTGGGCCTGGGCCGTGTGCCAGGTCTAGGGTGTTACAGTACTGCTACTTGAAAGTTACATGAAGCGTTTCAGAGCTAGCTCGGATGGGCCAGTGAACAGTAGATTTTGGCTGGTTTTGGATGATTGAATAGTATTATGGGAGAGATAATAAGCTGAAATAAGTCAGGACTATACCAGCCGAACGCAATGTCAGTTTAATCTAGGACAACATGCTTTAGTTCAGATTGCACAAATTCAGCCATTGAATTCACACAGCTTTGTGTTGTGTACTGACAAGACTGAGGAAGAGGTGAGGTGTTGGAAGAAGTCATCACATTTTTGCTTTTGTATTGTGTAGTTATATTGCAGAGAGAAGTGTCAAGCCTTCAGTTCTGATTTCTGAAGCTGCTAATCTTGACATCCAGAGAGCCTTTTTTTGGGGGAGAAAAAGAGTACACAACGGAGGAGCAATGGTACAAATTAGCGGAAGCTGATGCTGTCACAAGTTGCTAGATCCCTCCATTAGCTTCCTGATGTTTGGTTCTTGCCACATAACTTTTTTGATGCTTCTCTTGGCAGCTGGACTTAATATTTTACTATTCTTGTCGACATCACGAGTTGAATTATCAAAGTAGGCTTATGAGAGATACGTGCATCCGGAGGGTTGATTTGACTTATAAGTCATGGCTGAAAGTACTGTTGATTGATTTGGCGTGAGAGAAAAATACTGTTCATTGACTGATAAGTTATGGTTTATAAACCAAATACGACCAAGCGAACAGGCTTAAGATTATTTATATCAGCCGTATACCCAGTGTGTAGCATTTACATTCATCTCTCCTCGGCTGTTGTATCATAGCATCTGCATCCTTGACAGTGTAATGGCCGAGTCCGAATGCATTCCCAACCAAATCGTTTAGATCAGAAAATTTGAATGGCAGCTGCGGCTCTGAAGAAACCAGTTGCATAAACAAGAACACGGGAGCAGCTGAACAGAAACAAATGTTTCACGACAAGAACCGCCGGAACAATGTTTGTGCAGAGTGCTTGGCACGCCTTACCTTCTACTTTCTACTTTCTGAAACCCTTGTCCCTCGCATACTTGATGTCGTAGAAAACGTAAAAACGGTGATCACCATCTCTTTTTGTTTTCTGATCGCTCAAATGTCTATTTTTATTTATACACTAAGTTTCCCATGGTTCTATCATTGGATTTACGATTTTACTTTTTTTTATGCAGTACATGGCTACAGTGAATGTAAATATTTCTGGATGCAACGAGGATATATTCAAATGAAAATTCATCCGTAAAAAAAGGCCATTGCAAATGACATAGATGGATAACTAACATAGAATCATCGTCGCATGCAATAATAATACATATAATTTAACTATTTCTATATATTGTTGATGGTGAATCTTGCCACAGACAATTAAGTGTATACTTTATTCTACAGTATATGTCTATGTGGAATAGATCTAAAGCCATACATATTTATACGGTGAGTATAACATACTTTGTTTTAATGTTTTGTGAGTGATTTTTCAAGACACATAGTATTACCCATGTAACATGCACTAATATTTACATATATACTCGAACCTGTGTACATGATGGTATGAAGATGCGGCGGAACTTATTCGTTGATTTATTGGTGCATGAAAGAAATGGATATCGGAGATTTTTTCCCGCCGATATAAAACATTATCTTAGCCCGCAGCATGAAAAGATTTATACAATAGAGTTTGTGAGCCTGCGACACTACGCTCTATGTGACTATGTTAATTTCACGAACTTTGTTTTTTATTAAATGTCACTTTAACGTTAATATTTAATTTTATAGTATTGTTATTTTATTGTACGATCTATATGTTTTTAGTACAAAAATTTAGCTGGCATGAACTTAGTTTTAATAAAAAATTGCAGATCTGGATGTTGTTTTTGTCATTGCAAAACCAGCATCCTGTCGGCTATCAAGTGGCCGACTGGGGACTAATCGGCAAGTGAATTGCCAAGATCCTACGTGGCGGGAAAAAACTACAGGGCAGGATGTAGTCGGCTATTGGTTAGCCGACTAGATACCTATCGGCAATCTGATGGCCGATTGGTGCAATTGGCAGTTGTTTGCCCGATGGATCTCTCGGCCAATGGGAGGCCGACTGCACGAGCAACTGCTCTTTTTTTATCCTTTCTTTAATTTTTAGATTTTTTTGTCAATCACAAACAAAATATCTAAAAACCTCAAAAAAAAATATCTCTGTCTCTATTCCTAATACCACTAAGAGTTTCTTGGTCCTAGCCATTTTCTGTCTGTTTATCATTAATATTTATTGCATTAGACGATGGAAAGCCTAGTTGTTGATGCAACTTCCGTTAAGAACAAAACTTATATCTTATTTAAACATGGATTAACTGATGGTCCATCTAATCAAACATGAACTAATATCTTGAGGTGTTTCTTGTAAAGTCTAGTCCAAATAAATTTGTGTACGTATGCATCAGTGATGCTATATTTGAGTTTTCGAGGAAGCTGTTTAACCCTAATTAAAAAACATACTCGCCTATCGGCCCTTGATTGCCAATTAAAAAACAAGGCCCACATGGATAATATCTGTGCCACGTGGCGAGACATGTCGGCAACGCAAATGCCGATGGTAGCCTCTCGGCCCCTGGGACGCTGAGTAGATGTCATCGGCGCTTGGATTGCCGATTGCCGTCCAAATATACAATTTTATTATTACAGCTCTTAGATCTACAATTAGTTATTAAAATAATATTTTTTTTAAAAAAAACGCCGCTGGACGCCGCCGTCCAGGTGCTGTGGAGCCACATGGCCTCATCACTTCATCAGGGGCAAGAAAGAGACGGTGTGCATGTCTGATGGTGGACTAGTGGTAGACGGGAACGGAGGCCAGGATCAGTCCAAGAAATTGGATTATCTTAGGGTATTATGTCCAGCAGCATCCAACACCGTTGGATCAAAATTATATAGATATCCATGTCTAACTCGATACAAATCCAATAGAATCCAACTGCAGAAGTCCAATTGGATCTTGGACAATGCCAAGTCCAATTACATATCCATGTCAAATATGTTTAAAGGTAGAAACACAAATATTATTGCTTAAAAAATAAATAAGAATGACAGAAATTACACTTGGCCTAAGAAGATATGCCATCTTATGATATTTCAAACAGGCTTTAACACCACAAAACAAGTCCATCACTAAGTAAAATGTTCCACTTACAGCTACTTATCCTTTTTCTGAGAAACTCGTTGTTTGGACCACTCTTCCAAGGTTTTTTTGTGAAGGGCGTTCATTTTTATCTTTCTTCTTTCACGGATGATGTTCTCAGCATCTTTCCAGTTCTCAGCAATGCCCAGTGCTACTAGAATTGCACACACAACACAAGCACTTCTTCCATGACCTAATGTGCCCATCACGAAAACAAACATAACAGTTAATATACTACATATAAATACAAGGAAATACAATTATGTACATAATATGAACATCAAGATACAATCCTGAAACTAATTATAACAAAAGGTGGATTACTAACCAAATGCGCAATGGACATAAACTGACTTCCCCACGGATCTCTTTTCACAAGCCCAACGTGTAGCTTTTTCAATTGAAAAAAGTCTACTCCACCCCCCCAACTATGGGGTGGTCTACATAACCCCCTCAACTATGAAACGGTCTGATTTACCCCATAAACTTTCCAAAACCGTCTATTTTACCCCCCAGGCGGTTTTCAGCGGCGGTTTTGCTACAGTAACGGCGGATTTGCTACAGGGGCAGGGGTTTTGTTTTTCCTTATTTCCGCTGAATCTTTGAAAAATCATAAAATAGAAAATCTAATTTTGTTGGACTCCACATGAGTAGATCTACACAGTGAACATATAATATGGTACACTTTAGCACAAAACTTTTACTGTAGATTTATATTAATTAGAAAATCTAATTTTGTCTGTAATTAATTGAAATTTATCTATAACTAAGTTATACATGGTCCAATGAGTACGAAATTTTTACTATAGTTTAAGCATATAATAATTAACCTACCATAAAAATTTCACCACAATTGGACTATAGAAGCTGCAGCTATGAATTATTCTAATTAATTACAGACAAAATTGGATTTTCCAATTAATCTAAAGCTACAGCAAAAACTTTGTACTAAAGCGTACTATATTATATGTTCACTGTGTAGATCTACTCATGTGAAGTCTAACAAAATTAGATTTTCCATTTTATGATTTTTCTATGATTTTTCAAAGATTCAGCGGAAATAAGAAAAAAGACAAAACCCGCCACTGTAGCAAACCCGCCGTAACTGTAGCAAAACCGCCGCTGAAAACCGCCTAGGGGTTAAAATAGACGGTTTTGGAAAGTTCAGGGGGTAAATCAGATCGTTTCATAGTTGAGGAGATTATGTAGACCACCCCCATAGTTGGGGGAGTGGAGTAGACTTTTTCCTTTTTCAATTTGACACGGTGTTGGAGCTCTCATAGCCCAAGTTGCAAGACAAAGATACTCGTCTGCTGGAACGAAGGAGCTTCTTGGAAGCTCACAAGTGCAATCTATGATAGATGGGCTTCCAGGGGGTAAATGTTTCAAAAGAAACGGCCATCCTCCCAGATATAGGCCTTCCACGATCTTGTCATACACGGACTCCTTCCTCATGTATCTCTTAACCATTGCATATGTCCGAGCAAGCGTCAAGAAAGGACCAAACAGGACAATTGACCAAAGAGGAAATCTTCCCACTGAGTTCTTCCCCAAGATCCACGGCAGGTTGATGGCATCATGGGATGCAAAGGTGACAACGAAAGCCACAATACTTGTGCCTAGGAAAGGAAGCATAACGATTCTCATGCCCAACTGGCACAGATTAACAGATGTGACGAGAAAAGCCGTTGCAGCAATGCCCGTCGCCTTGGATATCCCCATTGCTATCTTTTATAGTTATAAAAAGATCACTTTCCCTGCATTATTGAGGCCAAATCTGCACCAAAGTTTCCATCAGCAGGTCATTTTTAGCAGAGCAGTGAAATTTGACTTCATTAAGCAAAAAACATGTGTGCCTTGGAGCATCAGGTCTATTCATTCTAGAAATAGCAACAAAGCATCATATGTTAAAGCATGCCAGCAGCTTGTTAGCATGCGAAAAGGGTGGAAAAATAAGCGCAAATTTTTTGAATCTGAATATTTTGGACGTGATGAGTAATAATTGCACATTTCAGCATAAAACACTAATGGCCAGCTTGATACTAGCATTCTAACTCAGGGAAGAACTAAAGAAAATAACAAAAGCCCATAAACACGATTAACCCACACATTAGGTTTAAGCGAACTCATTCATTGACTAATGCTACGACGCTGATGAGGCGGGAGAGAGGATCCAGTTAACAAGCATCTGTGTTTGGTTATACAAATCCATTTGTCTAAGTTTCAGAGTATGTGGCTTAGTGAAATTCCAAAATCGCAGCCTGTGACAAACCAGGTAAGTAGATGCCTATATCGAAACAGTAGGCAGGATCCATCAGATCCAAACTTCCAAATATTACAAACAGTGGCGGATCTAGAAACGGACCAAGAGGGGGTGCTAAATAATAGAGCCTAAAAATGGTACTGGCCAAACACTAGTAGATATAAATAGTACCGGTTCTAAGGTTTCAGGGGCCTAGAGGGAACTAGAGCCTAAGGGTCCTTAATATAAACACCATCATAACATAATGTTACCAACAAACACTCAAATTACATTCAAAAGATATATTTGTATCAAATAATTTGAACATGATACCTTTTAAAAAAATCTTATAACCTTTGTCAAGACTGGTAGTGATAGATCAATTAAATCTTCTTCTAGTCTTTTTTCCCCACTATATGGTGCTTGTTTTTTAGATAACAAAGGTGCTGAAATTTAAGAATTAGTCATTGAAAGCTACAATAGTACTAGATCAAGTAATTTAAATAATCTTACAGATTATCGTGCCGAACTCAGTAATATAGGTTCCTCAATAATACCCGATCACAATTAATCCGTTATTAGATGTCAATGGCCTATAAGTGAACTCACAATAAGATGATTTACAAAGAAATCTTAAAGGAAAGTGACGGCACTTGGCCTAGGTGGAAATTGGAATTGGCAAATAGAACTACATCTCATCAGTAGGATAGTATGTCACCAGTCACCGAGATGCGAGATATGCTGCACTAGCACAGATGCACAAGGGCACGGGGGAGCGGCCGGGCAGCCGCCAACGGAGAGGACAGAGGAGCTTCTGGGATTACCTCGGCAGCCAGGCGAGGCGTGAGGAGCGGTGAGGTCTGGGAGTCCGGAATCGAGGGTGGGAAGGAGAGGGGGATGAGGATGGGCGGCCAGCCGTGCCCGTGGAGGGAATGGATCCATCCGACGCCCTCTACTTTTAGCCTTTGTAAAATGGAGCTGCGAAAAGTCAGAACTGCCCTCTGGCTAGAGTGCCTTGCTGAAAGTTGTGTTTTCTCATGTGCCACTCCCTGGTCCTATGGCATTCATCTGACAGTGTCAACTCGGGGCTTGATTAGCGGCTAATCTGAAGCGCAAATGATCCTGACCCCTTTCCGAAAGTTGTATAGCTTGGCGAGAATGTCAACTTTGTTGCAGGCGGCCTAGACCGAATCTAAGTGAAATATGCTGCAAATGAGATTTCAAGATGTCTACTCGGACGCCTGCCAGGTGCTCGGCAGAATGCCGCGTGGCCACATGCAGTGCCTATGCTCTCTCTCTCTCTCCCGCCCTGCCCTCTCCCTCACTCAGCTCAGCACTGGAACGTGAGCGTGCCATGGACAGGCAGAGCAGAGCTCCCGCCGCCCCGTTGCAGCAGCTCCGAGCGCTGAAGTGCCCAACCAGGTCCTGTCGTGAGTTTTTTAAGCCCTGGGGCAAAACTAAAATGGGGGGCCCTTTATACATACATGCCGATGACAAAACTAAAATTAGTTCAAAGAAATTATCACACAAATTCAGAGCAAGCCAGCAGAACACACACAAATTTAATCTAATTAAATTACCGGCATTGGGTTGTGCATACCCAGATCATATGATACACATTAATGCATGCAGAGTGTCAGAGTACAAGGGCGACGGCAGAAGGCCAGAAGCTTGGCAGCTTGACTGAGATGCGTACGTGTCTCGCCTAGGCGTAGTCGCGTAGTCGCGTTGCCGGCTCGCCGTCGTCGCCCGTCGGGAGATCGCAGCGCGCGTCGCGTCGCGTCCGGCGTCTCGCACCGCAGCCGCGCCCGCGTCGCCGCCGCGGACGAAGAGTAGTAGTAGTAGCCGCGAACGCCACCACCTTGTCCTCATGTACGCCGCTGGCCGCAGCCAGTGCACCAGTGAGAGCTCGCTCCTCCAAGCCTCCTCCACCCTAACTGGCTGCTCCCTCGCCTTCCCCATCTCCCCGCGCGTGCGCGCTCTCCATTCCTATTCTCCACCGACGCCTGGAACACCCCGTTCGCCGGGCCGCTGCCGGTCTGCTCTCCGCCGTGTCGCCAGCTCACATGGACGGGAGGCCACGGGCCGTCACAACGCAAGCTGAGGCCCTCGCAGGTGCGGCCGGCCGCCGCGGTGCCGCAGCGACCTCGCCCCCATGGCCACTGGCCGCCACCGGTCGGGATTTGGCCGGTTGAGCCCAATCCCCTGCCGCTGCGTCTATTGAAGAAGGATCGCACCCGCAATAGAAACGATGGCGTGAGCGAGCAGGGTCATGGCTCGAGCAGGCGGCGGCGGTGCCGCGAGCAGACGACGACCTGAGCGAGCAGGGCCGCGGCGCGAGCAAGCGGCGGTAGGGCAGCGACGTGGCCCGGCGAGGAGCAGTCAACGGAGGGTGGCGCGGGAGGAGACGTTCGGGGTGGGCTAGCGCTGGGGCAAGGGGTGGCCCTACCGGGCGAAGGATGGCGCGGGAGGACGTTACGGGCGAGAAAATTGTAACTATAGGACGCGAAACAATGCGCTTCGTTATTATAGGACTCCAAACATCGACTTCGCTAAAATGACCCGTGAAACGTTGACACTTTGTTATACATGACATTTGGTCTTTTTAATCACTTTTCTCAATTAAAATACATGTATTTTGCCATGATGTGACCGTATTGCTCTTCTGACTTTTGTATCCTCGATCGATCGTATCTTTTCATCTTCCGGTCACAGATTAATACTGCTAGTATATAGGTCCCCGGGCGGCCGTCTCATCTTGCAGCACCAGTAGGGTTTGGGAGGGTTCCCCGGGGTAGTGAAGCCATGGCCGACGGCAGCATCAAGATCAACAGCCTGTTCGGGAGGCCGTAAACGATCGTGAATTATTTACTGTTGGCTAGTTTGGTGTGAGAGAAAAATACTGTTCTGGCTGAAAATTTACGATCGTTTACGACTGCGAAACGAGCTCTCTCGCCGTGGGCGTCTCAGCGCCCCTGCTTCGCCGACGCGGCTCCGACTTTGTCGACGTGCTCTCGAGCTTCGGCGCTCCCAATGTCCGCCGGCGTCTCGTCATGGGCGCGGCGCGTCGCCCGGCTGCCTCTCGACCCTCTGCCGGCGTGAGCCGCCTCGGGGGAAAGCAAGCTGCTGAGGTTCGACGCGTGCCACGACATGCTTCTCCGGCCTCGGCATGAAGAGGAGTTCAAGTATGTTATCTCATCCGCGCTGCCTTTGAATCTAATACATACCATTAGTACCTTAACAGCATTGCTGATCACAAAGGCACAGAGCCGGCACTGATCTGTACTTTTTTCTTCATAAAAAAGGGAGATTTGGTGCTCCTGGCACGGGAAACATGGTTGCAGCTGCTAGCTTGGTGCGATCGTCAGGAGCGAGCCGAGCCTACAGGGCCACGGTTCGGACTGCAGGTGTTGGCAAGTCATGGCAGAGTAGCGCATCTGTTCGACCAAAAACAAGTCGGATGGAAATTGGTCGAGGGGAAACGGCGGTTTGTGATCAGTGATTACTGGTGATCAAGCCAGCATCCACTGCCAATACGGTCACATCATGACAAAATACATGTATTTTAGTTGAGAAAAGTGATTAAAAAGATCAAATGTCATGTATAACAAAGTGCCAACGTTTTAAGGGTCGTTTTAGCGAAGTCGATGTTTGGAGTCCTATAATAGCAAAGCGCATTGTTTCGCGTCCTATAATTACAATTTTCTCGTTACGGGCGGCCGGGTGGATCGGGTGAAGGAGAAGGGGAAGGAGAGGATAAGCCTGAGGAGGGAGAGAGGGGTAATTTAGACATCTTTACTGGTCGGACCCATATGTCAGGGCAGCTAAACGATAAAAACTAGACGGTAGGTCGACGGAATGGGTTGGGAGAAAAAAAAAGTAAAATGTCATGGATATGTTCAAACTTTTTAGTGAACTATAGATCTGAAGCATCTTTCCTAACGACACACACCTAAAAGTCTATTTTGGCTCCGCAGCACCGTCGGGGCCAGAGACGTGCTGTTGACCGTCGTCAAAACTCAAAAGCAAGTACCTTGAGGCCCAGCCCAAAGCAGCTTTGCGGAACGGGCTGACGGGATTGTATGCAATCGATTTGGTTCGGCCTGTTATCCTGCTCAACTAGTATTTTTTTATTTTTCCTCAAAAAGATATATTTTTATTTTATACAATTTAGGATTTAGGAAAAACTAGCAAATATTCCGTAAGTTGAAAAGGTTATCAAATGTTATAGGAAACAAGGGTGGGAATGATGTGTTTTCCCCTTTCATATAAATTTAAAAGTTATAATTTATTTTACTCTCTTTGTGTCCAGTTTGTAAGGCATTTTTTTATACATCAGGAGTCAAACTTTGTAATATACTAATATTTGACCAATAATCTGTACTATAATTTTTAACTATTGTATGTAATACAAACTTGATAGTATTAGTTTTGTAATCAAATGTACTATCCAATAATCATAAACAATATATTATAAGAT